TGTCAGTAAAGAGCGGGGAAGAAAAGATCCATAGTAGTATTGGTCATTTAAGGTAACGATTGGGTTTTTTTTTTAATTTGTAACAAGAAAAGATTGGAGAATGGTAAAGAGAATCAGGATACCTGGAAGATGGCCGCTTGAAGATTGGTGCTGGAACACCTCGTCCTTCAGATGATCCTAAGCCGCTAGAAGAAGGCTGCTTCAAGATCGCTTTGGAACACCTTCGTCGCTCACTCCTTCCTTCGATAGCAACAACACACAATGGAAGAGTAATGACAACGAAGAAAGAGTGAGTTGAAAAGGTGAAGTATCCACAATGGCGCATTTGGGTTTACTATTAAAAGAAAGGGACGAAATTGGGATAAAAAAAGCAAAAAGTCAAAATATGGATTTTCTGCTCCCGCCCCGGGTAATTACATATGCCCGAAAACGTGTCAAAGCATATTTACCCAAGCCCCAATTGCTCCATCCTACTTTTGGTTTGCCAAATGAGCCAATTTAACCCAATGGACTCAAAATGAGCCAATTCAGTACACTTGACCCTTTACAATGTTCTATCCAAACGACCCCATAGGCAATTTTGATTTTTGTGCTTGGTCAGTATCATGTTTTGGAATGTTGAACTTCAAGTGTCTCTTTCAAGTCAGTATCATGTTTCCAAATCAATATTACTAACAAAATTGCTAACTGGAAGTTAACATTTGGCTAATTCTTTGCATTTAGATAGGTTTGGCTAAGGAAAAAGAATCTGAAAAAGGTTTGGATAATAAATAATCATTACCCAAAAAATACCAAACTACAATCGCTAAAAGATGCATTAACCAATGAAGCTCTATTATTAAGCTCATAAGCATGGCACTAGTGCTTTTTTTTTTAATTTTTTATGATATAAATTGAATTTGTGTATTTAAAGTTATGATACAAATTCATCTTATACTTATATATTTTTGCACAAATATTTTTATGCTACAAATTTAACATGTATCTTAATCTTATGATACAAGTTCAATAGTAGCTATACAAATTTGTACAAATTATGATACAACTAAACTTGTATGTTGAACATTATAATACAAATTCAAGGAGGATTGCAAAATTTCTAACATAAGGGCTCACATTATTTGGTTGACTGTTGTGTTGGAATGCGTTAGGGTGGTAACTGAAATTCTAATAGCCACCGTGGCTACATCAGTATCCACCATTCATTTTTCTCTTTTTTTAATCTCACGGTTAAGATTGCTCCAGGGTAATATTAGAAACAAGAAAGAGATCACACCAGATTATTCTATATATTCTACCCAAACCCTACTTCTACCCTCCCTCCAATCAAACCACCGTAGTCGCAAGCTTCCATTGAGGTCAAGAGGAAGGATGATTTTGTACAACTACGTTGACCGCCTCCACCACTCCCGCCTCACTAGTCCCGTCGGCCGCCTATACCAGCCCCGACGGCGATGAATCTGTGCAGCCGCTGTCGACGACTCCGTGCAGCCGACGATGCCGATGTCTTTCTCTCCGGGTCGGGGACTGTTTATTTCTCGGATGGTGAATCGGCAAGGGGTTCGACGGCTCCCTATCATTTCCCAGTTCATCCCACTCCGACTAAAGATGGCGCACCCGCAAGGTTGATTTTACCTCCTCCGGATCTTGTCGATGAGCACTTTTCTAAGTCGGCTATTGGTGAGATTTGTATGCATTGGTAGTGATATGTTGTTTTGGTAGTTGTCTTCTCACATGTGTAGCTTGGTGTGGAATGGTAGTGTTCATTGATATGTTTGCAATGGTAGTGTTTTAGTTTTATCCAACCTAGTGGTTAGACTTATTGTATGTTGATTGGTATGCTTGCAATGACTGAAATTAATACCAAACTAACCAGACACAACAATACGTTGCACAATAAGGCAAAATCAATACAATTTCAATAATGATAATCACAATACCAATATCAATCCAATGAATACCACTAGAATCAATCCAATGTTAAATTTGTACCAATACAATCACAACAAATTTAAGACAACTACCAATGCCGATCACTACCAGTGCAGCCATACAAAGTGATTAACACTATCAATCCAAACCTCACAAAACCCTGCGATGGTTTAATTGTTGTAATAATTACTTTTCGTAATTGCCTCTCCCTAATTATCACGTAATTAATATGGTAGTTATGATTACAATAAAAGCAAAATACCATTCCTATCATTAGTAGCCACGGTGATTACTAATACCAAGTAATCACCATAACATGTCCCCTGTTGTGTGTTCTTTGGACTTCCTATTGAATCTCAAGGTCCTCTCCAACAACATGTGATGGATTTCTATATCGACCTTTTTAAGAAACGAGATGTGATGGACAAGGGTTCCCTCATCTAGGACATCCCTTTGGTGGTTGATGCTCAAATGAACTCCTTCCCCTGTCGCCCTATTGATGATGACGAGATCAAGGCGGTAGTGTTCGAACTGGGTTCTTCTAAATCCCCTGGTCCAAATGGCTTTTCCGGCCTCTTTAATAGGAATTACTAGGACACTATTTACACCCAGTTTTGTGAGGAAGTTAAGAGTTTCTTCATGAACAATTCTAAGCCACAAGGTTGGAATGACACCCATCTGGTCCTCACTCCTAAAATCTCAAACCCTGAAAGAGCTTGGCAATTCAGACCAATCAGTTGTTGCAACTTTCGTTACAAGGTCATCTCAAAGGTCTTGACTTCTAGGCTCCAACAATGGATCCCTACCATTGTCTCTGAGATGTAGGTTGCGTTTGTTGGAGGCAGGGGGTTATTCAGGATAACATCATAATTGTCCATGAGTTTCTGCATCATTTCAAAACTCGTCCAAAAGGGGGCAATTGGGATATGTTAATTAAGCTTGATATGAAAAAAGCTTTTGACATGGTAGAATGGGATTTCCTGGATGATATCCTCAAGGCTATGGGTTTTGCTCATCAATGGTGCATTTGGATCAAATAATGCATCAGAACTATGAGATTTGCAATTTCTTTAATGGACAACCCTCTCCTTTCTTTGAACCCTCTCGTGGAATCCGAAAGAGAGACCCCCTTTCCCCTCTCCTGTTCATTATACTCTCTAATGCTCTTTCCTGACTCATTAGCAAGAATGTTAATAATAGTTTGTTTCAGGGGATCACCCTTAACCCTTCATGTCCTAGACTCACCCATGTCTTATTTGTAGATGACACCATCATTTTTGGTAAAGGCTCAATCAACGATGCTATGCTCATCAAGAAAAATATTGAGAACTATGGCATCCTGACTGAACAGACCATTAACAACAAAAAGTTAGCTATCACTTTCAGCAAGAATTGTCTGTTTGTCTTGAATCGCCAAATTGCTAACTTCCTGCATATCCCTATTTTGGATGGGATGGGAAAGTACTTGGGAGTCCCTTCTGAGTGGGGGCGATCAAAAAAAGAAGTTTTCTTAGAGCTTATTAATAGGATGGAGAGGCTTGGTCAGGCTTGGAAAAGTCTTGTGTTCTCCTAAGCTGGAAAGGAGACCGTTTTAAAATCGGTTTATCAGAGCTACCCTACGTATTTGATGTCTTGCTTCCTTCTTCCTAAGGGTACAACCAAAGTCATGGATTCAAAGCTTAAGGCCTTCTTCTGGGGAGGTAACTCGCTAAAACACAACTCCTAACAATGGCCAAGTGTAACCAATGAAAGAGACTGCAGTATAGTGGTGCAAGTCTATTTATCGACCCGGACTCTAGGGCCTTGTTTGCTTGAGGGTTTTGATCATGGATTTGGTACATGAAACCCAAATCAAATGGACTTGTGACCAAAACCTTTGTTTGCTTGATGGAATTTGAGAAGATAAATTTATGGGGCCCACAGACTTTGAGGTACCAAATCAGTGGGCCCCATGGACTTGGAAAAACCATCCCAAGAGGTGGGATTTGGGATAGGCTACAAAATCCATGATAGTTCTTTACCATTGTATCCCCACTTATTTTTCTAATGCCCAACCTATCCTCTTCCTTTTTCTTCTAATTGTTCCCCGTAGAGACAAGGAAAGACAAAAGGAGAGAAGAAACAAACGAAGTAAAAAAATCTCAGAAGACGAACTCGGATGGCTTGCGTCGCTGGAGAAGAACATCGCCGGAAGAGCTTGTGAAGACCGATCGTTCTCGCCTTCGTCGGTGAAGAAAGCCTCGACAATCAGCTGTGTTCTAAGTCGACAGTGATAAGGAAATACAGAGATAAGGAAAGACGAAAAGGAGAAAGAAACGAAGAAAAATCTCAGAGGAAAAGGATCTCACTGCTGGAGAAGAAGAACGCCACTTTTCTGATCGTCCTCGCCTTCGCCTGTGGAGAAAGCCTGAACAATCAGGTATGCTCCTTATTCTATTGCGTCTCCTACCATATTGTCTTCTATGGAACCCTAAAAAAGCTTATGTGATTTCTTCTTTCTCTGAGTAGCGTTGCTGAAGTGGGTGTGATGAAATAACATGAATGTGTTTGTTCAGTGTCGATGAGACTGCAAGGGATTGAGAGGAAATCCATTTTTGTCTTCTTTGTTTTAATATGGTTCCCCTGTACTACTTCTTTGGATGTTTTCTATTATCCTTTGGTTGGTTTGTTAGAATGTTGATATACTTTACTAATTTGGTGTTAGATTAAGAAAAATACTATTTTAATTTGACTACACTTGTGCTGCATTTTCACACTTAGGGTTAGTTTATCTAAATTTGGTATAAGTTTGTGAAAGTGCTCCATTTGCATTCTGGTTTTGGTTTAAGCACCAAATGATTTGAGTCGAACCTTCAACTTAGAAGGTAATTAGTAGTGCGTCTATTCTTAGTTATTGTTTTGATTAACTTAAAAAATAAGTTTTAATAAACTCTCTTATGTATCCTCTTTTTCATTTGTAGTCCTGTGAACAAGTTGTTGGTTTTTTCATTTGTACCAGCCTGCTGGTTTGTAGTCTTGTGTACAAGCTGCTGGTTTTTCCATTTGTAATATACTGTTGATTTTATAGGATGACAAGGAAGAGAAAGCTAGTCACAAACGAAGGAGAGGTACCTCACCCAACTGGCCCTTACTTCCAGTGGAATGAATCCCTTAATGCATTGCTCATAGAATGCATGTTGGAGATGACTCAAAGGCATCAGGTGGAGGATGGATCCTTCAAGAATGGGGCCTTTTTTGGAGCTGGAGAATATGATGCTAGAGAGGTCTCCTGGATGCGGGGTAAAAGTAGAACCGAACATTCGCTCTAGGCACAAAAAGTTGAAAAAAGATTTCCACGTTGTACAGTTGGTGCGTAATCAGAGCGGCTGTGGGTGGAACAATGTAACAAAGACTCCAACACTGGATGATGATGTCTTTGAAGCATTGATTAAGGTAATTATGTGAGGAGAACAAGACTGACAATGCAATTGATGCTCTGATATAAAGAATAAGGCTATAAAGAAGGAGAACAAGACTGACAATGCAATTGCTGTTGTGGCCGAGGAACTGGGAGGATTGAAGCCTATAATATCAAAGGCACTTGATGCTCTTGGATCAATTGTAGGTGATAGTGAGGAAGAGGATGGTAGGGAGGCTGCATTGATGGCAGAAATAGGAAAAATTCAAGGACTGGAACGCTGCCAAGTCCTTGATGCTGCAATGACCTTAGTTGAGAATGATCGGAAGACAAGACTCTTCTATGCTCTCGACAATGAGGAGGACAAGAAGTATTTCATTCAAAACTTGTTACGTTGACTGCCAAGGTTCTAGCAAGGGACAATGTTAGGTTGTATGTATGTAGGGGGATTGATTTTAGGATATGAAACTTGTGTGTACTGAACACATATAGTATGGATAGGAAACTTGTGTGTTTTTGGGGAAAGTAGGAGGTGGAAGATTAGTGATTTTGAGAATTTCCAATCCATTCCAACGTGTGTCTAATCCTTTAAAGAATGCAATGCAAACTGGTTGTGTATGCCTGCCTCAAGTAGGCTGTAAGTATATTTTCCAGATGTGTTTTTAGGTTGTATTGTAGTTGTTGGTTGTTGTATACTTGGTTGAACATGTGTTGTTTTTAAACTTTGCCGATGGAAAACAAAATTGCAGGTTGAACATGGATGCAGGTTGTATGTGTGCTTAATGAAAGAAGCATCTGTTGCAAGTTGAACATGGATTGCCATTACCACCTTGATTATATATAACATTCTAATAATGATAATAACAGAAGGTTGCCATGACCACTGTGAGTATGAAAAGATGAGATGAAGTGAGGATTGGGACGAGGATAAAGGGATGGGAGGCAGTTTTGTTTCTAACAATAATAATAATACAAAAATTAAATAAGGGTTAGTAAGGGCAATGAGGTAAATGCATAATATAACCACAAATATACTTCAACAAAATCCATATTGAAATCCAACAAGCAAACAATGGTTTTATTCAAAACCCAAATGAACCAACTCCATCATAAATCTATGGTTTTATAAAACCCAAGTTTTAACCAAAACCTTCATTTTTCAAATCCATGCAGAAAACGAGCCCTAGATCTACTGCCTACTCAGTGAACTCCTATTATCCAGGAGGACTAAGAGAGTGTAATGATTTTAGTGCAAAAGAAACAAAAAGCAAGTAATGGTCTGGTTCTTTTCAGGTCCAAAAGGTCATCCGGATATGGTTCCCCCTAGTGTGCAGGTAAATCAGGTTATATGGTCCCAAATTACTCAGATTGATAGATGAACTGCGGAAAGTTCTTTACTGGTCTGGACTCTCAACTAAAGTTAACCAAACCCTCTTGGTTCGAATACCCGCGAGTGACTAACCTCCACCGGCATACACTAACCAAGGTTAAACATACGAAACTTCCTCTACTGGCCTTTGCTCCAATACGGAGCAGTGAATCGACTTCTCGGCTAAAGTAGTCGATTCACCACTTTCAATTAAAGGTTGCTCTTTTAACCTATGCAGAGACTATTGTTCTAGGTTAAAGTTGGAATTACACAGGTTTGATCAGGACTCATGCAACTCTGAATGATTCCTCAACTGAATTTATCAAATCAATCATTCATGACATGGGATTCATACAATCATTCCTAATATACAAAGCTAGGGTTCTTCATACCTAGATGAAATGGAAAATTACTCCATGGAGAGATGTGAGAACGTCATGCTCGGAGCAGACATCATCAGAACAACGATGGACAACTGCTCCTGGCGGCTAATCGATACTCTGAGGTTGGGGAATCGAGCTCCAAGGTCTTCAGATCGCTCCAATCCTTGACATTGGGTTTTTGCTTCGTCATTCTCCCTTTAGGGTTATTTTTTGTCTTTGGAAGTCCAAAAATCTGGATCCTTTGCAAATTTCCCGAGCAGCCTTTAAATAGGCTGAGAATCCGCGAGTTACGACCGTAACTTTGCTCGCCTGCTCTTAACTTCCCAGAAACGGCGGTGTTGTGGCACTCCGCAAACCAAGAATTACGGCTCCTTTAGTGAAGTTACGGCCTCGATCGTAACTCGAGGGGAAAGGTCGTAGCTTTAAATGTGCTTCTGATCACTTAACTTTCACCACCTTGGAGTTACGGGCAAGAAGGGAGAGTTACGGCCCAGACCGTAACTTGAAGGTTCTGGTCGTAACTTCCAGAAGCTCCCTGGAATTCAGTTTGCTCCACTGTAAAGTTACGGGCCACCATGAGGAGTTATGGGCCAGACTGTAACTGGAAGGGTCTGGCCGTAACTCTCACCTGGCCTCTACCCGTTTCTCTCCAAAACGTCCCGAACTTCGCTCCTTCGCTCCCATTCATGTGCTAGGACCTGAAACATCATAAACGAACACAACCTAACGTAAAATAGGCCACGAGAGCGATAAATCAAACTTAAACGATCAAGAAATGACGGGGAAAACATGTTCGAATATGACATTATTAGAAGGTAGCATGGAAAAAGGGACTATCCACTGGAGGAAAGGAAGTGTCTTAACGGGGCCAAAACAGGATGGAGGAATGGGCTTCAAGGACTTTCACCAATTCAACATGGCACTGCTAGCTAAGTAGGGGTGGAGGATCCTGAATGAAAAGGATGAGACCTAGGTCAAACTTCTGAAAGGAATCTATTTTCCTAATTCGGATTTTATGACTGCAAGTAAAGGTAGGAAGCCATCTTGGATCTGGTCAAGTATTTGTGAAGCTAAGGAAGTCCAAAAACTCGAAGTTAGAAAGAATATGGGGAACAGAAGAAATATCACCCTGGACGAGGACCATGGATCCTGGGAGTGCCAAGATTTCTTCTTCAACAAAACCAAATAAATAAGCTTAAAGCTTTTGATTAGATTATGAATGATGGAAATGAATGGAATCTTAACTTAATCCGACAAAGTTGTTCTCCATCAGAAGTTGAGCCTATTCGAAGAATCACAATGGAACCTAATAACTCTGAGACTGTTGGGTGTGGCACTTAGAAAAATCAAGTTGCTTCTCTATCAAGTCAGCCTACCACACCTTCAGGGTTTCTGAAAATGTTCGGTTGAGCATCACTGATCCCAAACATCTTGGTTGCTCTTCTCAAGCATGGAAATGGCTCTGAAGCCTCTCCCTCCCTCCTAAAATCAAGAACTTCATCTGGAGATTGACTCGTAATGCAGTGGGGATAAAGAATAACCTTTGGTTCAGGAAAGTCATCAACTCCCCCATTTGTAGCGTCTGTGAATCTGCAGTGGAAGATGTGATTCATTGTCTATTCGAATACCCCCATGCATAGCTTATTTGGCATTCTCTTTTCACCTCTCTTTCCCTCATTGTGGATTCTGCGTCAATCCTTATGTGGCTCCACCTATTCTCCTTAAACCCCCTAGCTCCCCCTGTCATGGCTGTGATTGGCTCTGTTTGGGCTATTTGGAATGCCCGTAATGAGAGATTCTTTCGGGACAAGCAGCCCTCGACCTTCACCACCTCTTCCAATGCCATTTCGATATGTCTCTGATTGGAATGTAGCTTTTCCTAAGCCTGCCCATTCAACCGAAAATCAGTCTATTCCACCTCGTACCATCATTAACCCACCGCCTGGTTCTTTCCAACTTGAATTACATTGTGATGGAGCTTTTGTCTCGGAATCACAGATGGCGGCTTACGGTGTTGTCGTCTACAACAATGTTGGGCAGGTGATCGACGGGAAGGCTAATACTTTTTTCTGTTCAGAAGCGATTGTTGCGAATCAAAGGCCTTGTGCGTTCCTCTCAAGTTAGTTAACCTAATTCGCCATATTTGGGTTGCCGCTCCCGCTTTGGAGCTCGGAAACGCGAATTTTAGTGAGATCGCCCAAAATTCGTGAACTCACTTTCGCAAGAGCGCGAATTCACTTTCGCAAGAGCGCGGATTTGCTTGTTCCGCCCAACAACCTTTCTCTCAGCTCAATCCTGAGCTCCCAAAATACCTCTGTTCTTTCGTCCATTGGCAACAAGTCCCTCTCTCTTTGTTGCCCTCGCCTGCCACCATACCATCGTCTTTGTCAATTCTAACCATGACATCATAGAGTCTTGTCGTTGCCTTCCGTCGTCTTTCTCCCAGTTCGCCAGTTGCCATCCTCACCGGAGTCGCCGCTCTAGCTATTAGTGACCATGCATTAAGATGACTCTGTTCCTACCTCCAGACTACTAGATTTTACACAGACAGAGCAGGAAATTAGAGATGTGTCCGTTGATGTGATGAAGGAGATGGAATCCCTGGTTTTGAATGACCGAGAAAGCATGCAAAACCTAAATATGATCCCTTTTGCGGTCATGGTATGTGGGGATTCTTTGCCGCCAGCAAGATCTGAGACATAGAGGCATTGGCGTTGCCTCTACATTCCCCATGAGTGTGCCGTGATTCGTTCGCACATGTTCGTCTCCTTCCTCCGTGGACAACTCTGTCCTTTCTATTTTCGTCGTCGTCAACTAAAAAGGAATCGATTATTAGCTTTGATGGGAAAATTGAAGGGCAGTTGTAGAGGATGAACAACATATATAGAATAATAGATGTTAGGGATTCTATCGGGTTACAGAGAAGGCAAAAAAAGGGAAAGGTAGAGAGAAAGAGGTTTTTGGGGAAATGATTTGTAATGGGATTCTAAACTTGGGTATTGGAAAAATTGCCCTCTCTATTGCCGAGTGAGGACGGACAAGACTAAATGAGTAAATGCACATTATTATTCATTTATAATTATTTTTATATTTTATTTGCTATGTTTTGTTTAAATACATTGAGAAAATAATTAACAGTTAATATAATATTGACGCTCTATTCACGCTCTCAATTTCGAGTTCTTCAAAAATCGACGCTCTCACTCTCTCGTTCCCGCTCTCGCTCCCGCTCTCGCTCCCGCTCCTGCTCCCGCTCCACGCTCTGGTTACCTAACTCTCAAGTATGCGGATGATTTGGGCCTCTCGACAAGGATTCTCTCGGATTGCAAAATCATCACCGACATCCTCCATTCTCCTGACAAGAGGTCCCTGGCAAGTCATGGCTTGGATCGAAAGTATGCGCCATCTCCTCAATCAAAGTGGAGTTTGGGCCCCGTTCTTGTAACAAAAGTGCAAATTGGGTGGCTAGAAAGGCTTGTAAGGGTACCCTCCCAAATGAATGGATCTGTATTCTGGGTTTGATTTCTCCCCTGCTATAATAGGCCTTGCTTGTAAGTTGTAACTAGGGCTGCAAATGAGTCGAGTCAAGTTTTTGTTTAGTTTGAACTCGGCTTGTTTATAAATTTATGAGCTCGAGCTCGACTCGGTATAGCTCGGTAAATGCTCATTAACATAACTTGTCAAGCTGAGTACAAGCTCGGCTCAAAATGAGCTCGATTTGAAATCATTCTTCCTGAAAAATGTGTACACATAAAAGTTTAATGATAAAAAGAACACTAGAAACTATAAATACACGCTAACTTTCATACACATTAATATTAACAAAATATGTTCATGTTCAGAAGAGTAATTAATTCTTTCACAAGCTCTAAACAAGCCAGCTCACGAGTTTAGCTCAACAAGCCACCAAGTCAAACTAGCTCACGAGCTTATCAAGCTAAGCATGACTTGCTAAATAACGAGCCCAATGTCGAACGAGTTTTTTCCGATTCGAACAGCGAGTTGCTCGCGAGCACTAGTTGTATGCAATCATTTATGAATAAACTATCCTTGTTCGTAAAATAAAAACCTGATAGAGTTGAATAAGCGGTCGTTGGATGATTCCCACGTAGGGGTGTCAGTTCGGGTCGGGTTCGGTTACCCAAACCGAAACCCGAAAAACCTAAGAATTCGAAATCGAACCCGAATCCGATAAGGACTTTCGGTTTCCGGTTACCCGAAACCCGAAAATTCCTTATCGGGTTCGGATTCGGTTAAAGCAAAACCGAAACCCGAAAACCTGAATGCCTAAGAATACGGGCTGAGTTCTATTCCTTAGAGGTTTACAGCGGAACCCGAAAAACCCGATAAGCAAAACCGAACCCAAAATTGAAAAACTCGAAACCCGAACCCGAAAAACTGAAAATGTATGTAATCGGATCGGTTTCTGGTAAACCAAAAAACCGATTCGGACACCCCTGACCCCTATTCCCACGTCAAGTCGTCAACTCACCGTTTGGTCTAGATTATTCTGGAATCCCCGACGGCAGAGGCAAATCCGGCTCTAGCCTGCGCGCCTTTTGCTGGAACGCTATTCGTGGCGCGACCTTTAACCCCCTGGGAATCTTGTCCCTCTTTCCTCTCTCGTTTTCCATCCGCCTCTCCGCCGACGAATCGCAGACCAGACGGCGAGGTTTCATCTGCTCCCGTTAAAGAATCAATCAGGTTAGGATTTTTCCTTTCTCTCGCGACCGATTCATTTGGAATCTCAGCGGAACCCATCTCGTTACCCATCATGATTGCTGGGTTAATTATTGCTTCGATCTCAGCTGCAATCATGTCTGTATATGGTTTTGTTGGCGGAATTTCCTCTAGATTTAGGACTAGACAGTCTTTGTTTGGGATGATTATTGAAGTTCGGACTATATGGCTTCTCTTCCTTGGCTGTGAAGATTTCGAACGAAGGCTTGAGCTTCGAAGTGTACGTGCAGTATTCCTTTCGTGTTAGGAAACCCTAGAAGGTGTACTGTTCAGATGTCATTGGGAGCTTTACTTAGCTTCTGTGACAATGGGATCAAGTTCTTACGCATGAACTTGATTTGGCCTTGAGAAAATCTTCTTTGAAGGAAATGACGGCTTGTGGATTCTTCTTTATCCTGCATGCTATTTCTTCTCTAGTTGGGATACATATTTGACCGAAGTGAATGGAAGAGGGTTGCAGTTAGAGGATTTGATGACTGATTTTGACATCCAAATGTCTTCACGTTCTTATTAAATGTGCTCAAGGGAGTACCTGAAGCTCAGTAGGCTTTATAGTTTTTTTGTTCTGGTAAACTGCATTCTATCTGTGCTGATTTTGACTGTCTGTTATATTATTTTTAGATACCTGGGCAGAGCCAACATATCATGGCAGATCACCACCCCAACGAAGGACCTTCCACAAGCAATGTTTCTGGTGAAACATCTGATTCAAGTGTGCAGCTCAATGTGAAGACTTTAGATTCACAAATTTACAGTTTCCTGGCGGACAAGAAAGTGAGTATTATTTGCTCATGTCTAGTTCTTCATGTTGGGCATATTTGATTTGCTTCGTGCAACATATGGGGCATGTTCATTTCATTTCATTCCATCATTATCTGATCTGCAATCAAAGTAGCTGGTTTTCTCAAAGAGTTGTCCAAGTCATTTCATTCAAATTCAGCTGTCTAAACTTTGTCAGTAATGTGTAGTTTGTGTTCTTGGCTTGGATTTCTTCAGATGCCAGTTCTAGCTTTCAAGGAGAAAATAGCTAGTCAAGTTGGTGTTCCAGTCAATCAGCAGAGACTGATTTTTCGAGGAAGGGTGTTGAAGGATGAACATCTCCTCTCTGAATATCGTATCCTGTCATCTGTACACTTCAGTTCAGCATGTTACCTTTATTCACAAAAAGTGTTGCACAGTACCCTTTAGAATTAACCTATATAATGGATAAGCTAAATATTAAAGGGTTTCTGGTGTATGTGTTAGGCTTTATCAATCATCTATTGAATTTTTTGAGGTGGTAAATGTTTTAAACATCTACTTGGTTGAGGACTAAAGTAGCTGACACCATTGTTATGTGAAATTGTTTTCTATTTTCATCCACCACGATACAGAGTTCTGAAGAAGGTCCTGTAATGAGGGCGATTTTAGTCTTTTGTGCATACAAATATTGCAGTGCTGTTATTCTGATTTTGCCAGGCAGGGATAGGGTATCTATTATGTGGTCAGTTATACATAGATTGGGAGTATGTTATGTGGTGCATAATTGTTCATATTAGTCATCCAACAGCAAGTATTCTGTGTCTCCCTTGACTGCATTTAGAGGTTGAGAATGGTCATACATTGCATTTGGTTGTGAGGCAGTCAGCACAAACACAACCTTCATCCGAGACAAGCTCCGGAGACGCAAGAGGTAATCCTTATGGTTGATCTTTCTGTGTCGAGGTCTGTTTCTCGGCCTGCTTTGTTGTCAATTGTAAGTAAGTGAATTTTTGCAGGGAATGATGCTAGTTATGGTGGCCTCGGAAACCGTCCTAGCCAGATTCCACACAGTGTTTTGCTGGGGACATTTAGCGTTGCAGATCAAGGTGACGGTATGGTTCCAGATCTAAATAGGGTATGTAGCATCTTGTTCTAGCCAGGTTTTGAATGCAAATTGTTTGGTGGTACTCTCAGGCACAATTGTAGAAACATTTGTCTTATTTGTGCTTGAAATGTAGGTTATTGGGTCTGTGTTGAACTCAATAGGGATTGGCGGACTGGCTGGCACTGCTGGCATGGGCAGCATGCCGTTCCCACCTATGGTGAGTTTTATTGGTGCGTTGTAGAAGTACCACATTGCAGGTCTTGTATGCATAGGGTGTAAATGGAGGTTTTATTTTGAATAGTGTGATTGTTTGCGCTTACTCCTCGCACAATTTGAGGGAAGTATTGTATGCAGCCTAATGCTACTAGCCAGACACATCAAGGTAATGGAACCGGTGGAAATGTTGGTGGTCAGAATCAAGCCGGAAATCCAGCACAGGCGGGTAATACATTCCAATCCCAGCCTCAAGTTGTGCAGATTCCTCTTGCTACATCAGTACCCATTCCTTCATTTCATTCGGTATGCGTTTGACTACCAGGATGCCTATTTTTTGTTTTGGCAGTGAGATATATCTGCTATTAAAATGACGTCTCCTAATTGGTTTTCTTTTTGAAGCCAATTCCTGATTCTCTAAATACCATCTCTGAATTTTTGAGTCGGATGGAGCAAGTACTTGCCCAAAATGGTAATTGTTGGAAAGCCGTTGCTGTATTTCCCAGCATTAAAATTGTATCCAGAGTAACTAATTTTCTTTTATCTAGGGTCTCAGCAGGGTACCACTTCAACGACTTCAGGAGTCCCTCCAAGGGTCGAGTCGCCTTCTAATGTGCAGGGGCTACCTGCACTTGAAGCTTTAAGCACCGTCTTGCGACAAGCCGAAAGGCTTCTTAGTGGGCATGCGGTGGCTTCATTGTCTGTAAGGATCATCTTATTAGCATGTTAAATTTTTCCACTTTGTTGGCTTTGTTACCCCACATTTTTGGATGAAGTTAATGAAAAAAGTTATGTGGCCAGAGAGGTCGTTCAGAGGAACATAAGTTTCACATTCCTGACTTTTTCATTCAATAAGGACGTTCTAAATTTTGTGCAATGCTCTAGAATCTTGCAGGGCGCCTGGAAGGAGAGGGGACTTCTCCTGATCTCAGTATCAGGAGCCAAATCCAAACAGAAACTGTGCAATCTGGTCTTGCAATGCAACATCTTGGTGCACTCTTTTTGGAGCTGGGTCGCACATTGTTAACATTCCGTATGGGGCAATCTCCTGTAAGTGTGTTCTTTCTCTGTTGCTTTCTTCAGCTGGTATATGTGCGTTCTCCTTAAAACATATTTGATGAATTGCAGGGAGAGTCCTCTATACACTCTGGGCCTGCAGTTTATATATCTCCATCCGGGCCTAACACCATAATGGCCCAGGTTCGATGTTCTACCCAGTTTATGTTTTGTGCTGTGCATGATGATTGAACTAGCTTTTGCTAATGTGAATTCTTTTACTTTCTATCCAGCCATTTCCTCTGCAAACTCAATCTCTGTTCGGTGGCATTAGTGGCCAATCAAGTGCTGTTCCATTTGCTCCTGTTGGTGTTGGAAATGCCCCAAGGCATGTAAATATACACATACATGCTGGTAAGCAAAACATGATTTGCCATTTCATATCAGACTGGTCCTTTTTAGTCAACTGACACACTTTCTTAGGCACAACAATGGCATCTGTTCTACCGACAATGGGTGTCAGGGCAAATAGTGGCGAACCTGGAACTGCCCAAGGGAGGGTACCTGGCAGAAGCGCTGCTGCTGCAGTGCCTGCACAAACTCGTGGGATTCCAGTCCCAGATACTGCACAACCAGATAGAGGTGATGTAGCACCTGATTTGGGACACATGTCTTCTATGGTTTCTTCGATCAATTCTCGGTTGAGAGATCTTATGGCAAATTTTCCAGGACAGCCAATAACTGTACCAGGTAAGCATTCTACTGGACGGGAACAATTAGAGTTCAATTTCCTCACTGTTATAACTGAAATTATCTGAAATACTTGTAGGATCTGAAGAACCTGCTGCTGGTACTGCTATTGGTGGAGAACAACAACCTGCATTGGCCACTGATCGAGCTGTAGAGTCAAGTGGGCCCTTGCCTGATCTCGTATCTGAGGGTGATACTAAGAAGGTATGCTCTTTTTTGTGCACAGTTTAGGAATCTTTCTCTTGCTCTTTTCCTTCTATTTCTGGTCTTGTGCTAAATAATTAGGGAATCACAGATGCAAGATGAAAATGTGCAAATCAACAAGAATGAGGAGAAAAATGATCTTAATACTTCCGTTAAAGATGTGTCCTCTAGTTCAGTGGGATCTTCGACTACAGCAACTTCACTGAAGGAGGAAGCTTCTGAAAATGTTCCAAGTGCTAGTGCAAGACATGATCCTCCAGAGGGTGCTAAGGCTGCCCCTCTTGGGTTGGGTTTGGGGAGTTTGGACCGTAAGGTATGACAACATTTTTTCTAATTGTCTATTGTCAGTAATCTTATCCATTCTATCCGCATTGGACTTCTTAGCTTTAAATAGAACACGATAAATATGGTTGTCTTCAGAGATATTCCTTCCTCCAACACAACGATGAAGAAGTGGGTCAGTGTGTTTTTCTTTATAGTTTTTAATCACAGATTAGTGAAAATTGGCTTACAGTTGCTTCCACTTGATATACATTGCATGACTTTATATAATCATTTCTTGGTGTGTATAAAAAATGAGTAGAGTATCGCTGCAAGCCTAAGTCTTATATATTCCCTGTGGGAAAAGAAGACACCTTGTGGTTAGAAACTCGTTTTATGCTTTAGGATTATGCAAATTGACCACGTTCCTCCAAATAGCTGAATGGTAATCAGGTTATTAGGTTATGCAGTTGCTTTTGCTTGACACATTTATATGTATATTTCCCTTGCCATCTTCATATGTACAATTTGTTTCAAATTCTGAAACGGCTGAGTGTCAATATTGTTTGTGATCCTAGAAGCGAGTTAAGCAGCAAAAACCCTCCGCCACTACAGATGGCACCCAAATAGCACAGCAACTCTTACAGACACTTAGCTCCCGAAGCTCCGCTCCTATCTCAGCTTCAACAGATGCACCCTCAGGTCAAACCACTATTCCCGTTGTCGGGATCCGTGAGGGCGTAGCAGACCATGACTCTGATGTACAAGTCGATGCTGCTACTGCCATGTCGCAAGCTCTACGAAGCCCTGGTTTTGATAATTTGTTGGCAGGGGTCTCTGAGCAGACTGGTTTCGGTTCTCCCGATATCCTGAGAAACATGATGCAGGGGCTCACTCAGAATCCCCAGATCATGAATGCTGTCAGTCAAATTGCTCAGCAGGTTGACACCCAAGATATTGGGGACATGTTTTCTGGTGCTGGGAGAGGCCAAGGTGGTGGCGGTTTTGATCTCTCAAGGATGGTTCAACAGATGATGCCTGTTGTTTCCCAAGTTCTGGGGCAAGGATCTGCTGCGCCACGAGCATTCCCAATCCCACAGCCTGTGCCTGAAAGGATTACGTCTCGAGAACCCAGTGATCAGAGTGTTCAGGTATGCTCTGTCTAACTCTCTCTGGAAGGTAAAACCTTAATCTGAAATGCTCATTTTCGCTATGTTATCCTGTTTTACAGATGGACCTGCATGCTGTGGCTCAGAGAATTGAGCATGGTGATGCACCTGAAGACATATTTCGTGCCATGGCCGAAAATGCAGCTAGGTTGAGCGGCAATGATGGTGCAAGTGCACAGGATTTGAGCAACAGTGAGGATCTAGTCAATGTAAGTTTCGATCAGAATTTAATTTTATTGCATTCTGTGTATCCATGGATTAAATTATTGGTGTCTTTCTTGTTATCATCTGTCAAAGCTCGTTCTTTTTGTTCTGGCTGTGGTGCAGGAATATTTGGAGGTACTACGCCGGGACATAAGAAGGCGTTGTGAGGGTGACTCTGATTGAGGCAGTTGTTGGTCTCGTTCATTAGGCAAGGAACCTTGAACATATCTGTTTAGGTTCAACCAAAATCCGTGGCCTTGCTTTGCTTAACTGAACTAAACTAGAAGCCTTTTGATGATACGGTTAGGCTCCAGCCCCCTGGGTATTTAGTTTATTAGATTCCAGTCGTGGTATGCTTTTGGATTGGCTGTATAATTTCAGCACGATTTCGTTTTGAAAATGCTTGAAGCTGTTTGTTTGATAGTATTTTGATCGATCTTTTGCTGCCAATTCTTTTCGGTTGTGACGCAACTCAAGAACTGGAATTCGATCGAATAGACTCGAGCTTCCTTGTATTCGCTTCTACTTTTGGTTTCAACATAATCTGCCTTTTGGACACCAATTCAGCCATGGAAATAGATTTCTTCGCATACATTCTTAGCTATTAGCCACCGAGTTGATTTGGAAAATTGAAATCAAACTAGATCATAATCTCTGATCATGTTTGTCTAAAATTGAGCCGAAAAGCACTTCAGTATTGCTGTGGTAGCACTTCTCCGGTTAAACCAAAGCGGATTCATCTCCATCCGATCAACATTCCCTTACGTGGCAAAAGATAACAGCTGCGTCCTCATGGGATAATAGTGTGCCGCCGTCGCACCCGATGTAGAGGAGCAAACCGTCACAAAATGGGGTTTTCGATTTTCATTCCCTCAGCCCTCACAAGTCACAGCTATCAGAAATCAGATACCGATGGCTTCCCCTGGTTCGGCGGTCGACGCCCAAGGCTCCAGGCGACCACTGGGGTTTCTAGCCAACGCGATCAAGAGGAAACACAGCTTCATCCAGCTGGGCGCAATGACCGGGATTCTGCTCCTGAGCGTCAGATCGCTGGGGCAGAAGTACCGGATCCACGACCTCGAGGACGACACGGCGGCTCTCAGGGAGGAGCAGCAGACGCTTGCCGACCGTATGAAGACCATCAAGGAAGCTTTGCTGCGTGAAGCGTCGCTCGAGCCTTCCGGCCGCTTCGCTTCTCGACTCCGCAGTCTCTTCGGCGAGGGAGATTCGAACTAGCGTCCCGGCGATACGGTAGCTCTATCTCGCGATCCTCCTGTGAGTCTTTTGGTTTCCTCGGTTCTCTTATTTTTGGATTGGTGGTGGAAATGGAGACTAGTTGAGCTGGAGTGCTGGACTTTTTTTTTCAAATAACAGGAATTGGTGGAATGCCTATTATCATAATAATGAACAACTGTTAGGCCAGACTTATGTTTAGTAGGAACTAGGAAATGTGTAGTTGCAGACTCGTTAAGACATGTGGAATTGCACTTTTCAAGCTTGTGTCAGTAGAATTCGGCCAAGAGTTCTAATTATTTGGCTCATGAAAATGATGAACAAGCGCTAGGACAGACTTCTGTTTGATGGACTTGGTAGAAAATTTGTTGTTGCAGACTCTTCAAGATGAGTGAAACCGAAGTTTTCAAGCTTCCGTAACTTGAATTCGATAAAGAGTTCTTACTTTCTGTCCATTTTTTTGGCTCCTTGAGCTTGGGATATAACCATTTTGTGGACGGAGATGGTGCACAATGTGCTGTTTGGTTTCACTTGCAATTGTCTGATTAAATCATTTTCTCATAATTAGCATCCAGTCTATGGGTTGGATGCACCGACTGTGGTAATTTCTTTGCTGCATGTTATGGAAATGGTACTCGGTGGATGTTTTTAGGTGTGCACAATGTTTTTCTCATGGTTGTTCTGATTGAAGCGATTTGTGAATCAAAAGTATTTCCTCCCATTAAGAGCAGGATATAGAGTTTGCAAGACTGTTAGAGATGAGAAACTTGGTATAATAATAGGCATTTCTTTGTGGATCACCAGCTCATGCTAGGAGCTGATTGATATATAGACTATAGTAGCCGTTCTTCAACCGAAAATACTTTCAAGGAACTTAGATTTCGAGCTGTGGTTTTTAGTTCCACTGCTCATCTTGAGTTCATTTGGAGTTGCTTGAAACTCGCTTGATATCTTTTGTTGACACAGCTCGCCACAACTACCAGACTCTCGGGATTGTTTTCGAGTTATTGATCTAGCGCAATGATTTTGTAGTGTGTGTGTAACAATGCTTGCATGCTGGATATGTTTTGTTTTTGGAAGGTCTTAATCAATCAACATAGGAAAGACTCTCATTCCTCAACTTTGACTGTGAATGTTAGAGGCCATAGTCTGATTCGTGAAATGAAAACCACTTACTGGATAGGTCGACTTCAGGTATAGTAAGGGAGAACTAGACAGAGCAAAATTATCCATCCATTGCGGGGCATTAAGGTTGGAGAGATGTACACACAAGTAAAATCTAGAGTTCGATTGACACTGCAAAGTGCGGAAGTAGTCTATTATGTCTGCCTAGTCGAGTATCATCTGACTCGATTTGTGCTAGGATGTGTATTAATCGAGTTGCAGTTCTGTGGTAGCACAGGTATTATTTTTGACTTGCCCCTCTCCGCTATGCCTATTTTTAACTCATCCTATCTTGATTTACCTCAATATCTATTTAGCTGTCTCATATTTTAACTTTCTTTACTTTCAATAAATCTTCTAATTGATGCAAGACTTTAATTTTCAACTAATTAGATCAATTATTCCTTCTATTTCCCATTTTTCATTCTTAAGTGTTCTCATGTGCTTTAGTATAAAAAATTAATTTTTTCTTTTAGTTTCTTCAAATAACATGTGAAAATGAGTATGGTTATTAAGATACCCATCCCCATTGCCACCACTGCTTACGTCGTGTTGCTAATTGTTCGGACTTCCTAATACTAGCCAATTAATCATCAACCATTGATTTCCATTATATGGATTTGAACTCTCAAAAAGGATTTTAATGGAAGTGGCTATGGAGTCTCATACTACACCAAAGATGAAATTCTTTCATTTGGAGATGTGCTAAAAGAGCTCCTACTACAAATAAAAAAACCTCCGTAGTCATGGATGCTTTGTGACAACTTGGATGAAACCATTTCACCACTGTTTTTTCCAATGCAACTATGCACAAGGAAGCTTATAACCACCTTTTCCCGTCCATACCCACCTCAACGTCTTTTTTTTATCCCCCTCAACGGGCTTTTCTTCCTTGGTAACACGATGTCTGTGCAATCTATTCAACCTATCATCTACTTATTTCCCTATGTGAAAGACACGAAACAAAAAAGCGTTTCGCAACTCTCAGCCTTGGCCTCTGTCCACGTACAGAAAAAGATCAAATGACCTACTCCGATGGACCTCCTACCCCAAACACATACAACATCACACTCCTCGTTGTCGGCCCATGACATCCTAAACTCATTCTTCTCCACCATCGAGCAATCTCTCTTTATAAATTCATTGTGAAGGGTCATTTATAAATGAGTTTCATACTGCGGTTTATTGCGTTCACGTAAACCGGGAAGGCAAATAACAAAAGGTTCCCTAAACTTAATAAGCCTACAAGTGGGGAAAGTATAGGGATCACAACACTCCCCCTCAAGCGAAGGAGCGAATATCGAGAAGTCCGAGCTTGACCAGAAGATGTGAGAACTGATCAACGCTGAGACCTTTGGTGAAAATATCCGCAGGCTGCTCCTGAGTAGCAATCTTGAGAGGCAAGATATCACCAGCCTGCACACGCTCTCGCACAAAGTAGCAATCCATTTCAACATGTTTAGTACGCTCGTGAAACACCGGATTAACCGCGATGTGAAGAGCGGCCTGGTTATCACAGAACAATGGAGTGGGACGAGAGAGAGTAACTCCCAAGTCGCGAAGAAGCCAACGTAGCCACACTACCTCACTGACAGTGCTTGCCATGGCACGATATTCAGCTTCTGCCGAGGAGCGTGCTACAACTGACTATTTCTTGGTGCGCCAAGACACTGGAGAAGAACCCAGCTGAATGAAGTACCCCGTAGTCGAATGCCTAGTGAGAGGACAACCAGCCCAGTCTGCATCATAGTACGCTGTCAAAGTGAGTTCTTTAGTAACCGGAAGAAACAAGCCACGGCTAGGGCACGCCTTGAGATACCGAAGCATCCGAGCTGCAGCATCAACATGTGCTTGAGTCGGGGAATGAACTGCCTGGCTAAGCATATTGACTGCGTAAGTGATATCCTGACGAGTAACCGTGAGGTACAAAAGGCGTCCAACGAGTCGACGATGGCAGCTGGATCAGCTGCTGGTGACGACGGGTCATGATTAAGATGATGATTCTGCTCAATGGGAGTCGGACTAGGGCGAGTGGCCGTGAGACCAGATTCCGCAAGGATGTCCAACACATACTTCCTTTGATTCAGTACCAAGCAGCGAGGTGATCGGGCTACTTCAATGCTAAGAAAATACTTTAGTGGCCCAAGGTCTTTGATAGTGAAACGATCATGGAGGAAATCCTTGACCTGTTGAATGAATCCCATGTCATTACGAGTCAAAATGACATCATCCACGTAAATGAGAGCAACTACAAAGGTGGAACCATGACGATGGGTGAAAATAGCATGATTAACACGACTCTGAACAAACTGTAGTTCCAGAAGTGCCTGACTGAAATTCTGATACCAATTGCGAGAAGCCTGACGAAGTCCATAAATAGACTTGCGGAGGCGACAAACTCGAGTGTCGCCAAGTCGAGAGAAGCCTTGAGGAATTTCCATATAAAACTCTTCTTCAAGATCACCATGCAAAATGCATTATTCACATCAAGCTGATGAATAATCCAATTTCTGCTGGCAGCAACAGTGAGCAAGCAACGAACAGTGACCAGCTTAGCCACGGGCGCAAAGGTGTCATGATAGTCGATGCCCTCGATCTGTGTAAAACCTTTGGCCACAAGACTCGCTTTATAATGCTCAATTGTCCCATCAGCATTGAACTTAACCTTAAAAACCCATTTCTAAGCGATAGCCCTCTTACCAGGTGGTAATTCGCACAACTCCCAGGTGCCATTAGATTCGAGCGCCTGATACTCAATCATCATGGCATCTCTCCAATGTTTATAACGCACCGCTTGATAGTAATAGCGCGGTTCCTCTACACTACTCACCGCGGCGACGAAGGCATGATGTGCCTGGGAGAGTCGGCGGTTGGTAAGGTAACTTCAATAGGATGATCAACTTGAAATGTGTGAGCTACACCAGGTAAGTCGACCTCAAAACCTCGAAGTCGGGTGGAGAGGTGAGGAATCCGATTACTTTGCGTAACGGTGGCACACCGCCCTCCTTCGCTGGAGTTGGCAAAGTGACGAGAGGAGTGGGAGACTTGGATGGCGAAGTTATCCCATCACCTGAAGAAAGGCAATCAAGCTGTAGGGGGGACTCCTCGGATGGAGATGATGATGATGGTGACACATCCAGCTGGTCAACAGGCACGACCGCCAGTTAGGGAATGGCATACGCCAAAGAAGGAAGGGGTGAACTGGCCGGGGGGTCATCCCAAACCGGTGCAACAGCAGGTGCACCATGCAGCTGGGAATTCGTACCCTGCATGAGAGATGGCGACGGATCCTGGGACAAGAGATAGGGATAAATGGTTTCAATGAAACGAACATCTCTGAAATGGAGATCGATTACCAATCGGCACCAACGGTAGTCGATTAATTAAATATGCTGCCGTCAAAATACACTCTCCCCAGAACTCAAGAGGCAGATTCTCCTAGAACCTGAGAGCACAAGCTGTTTCCAACAGATGCCGATGCTTACGCTCAACCACCCCATTTTGCTATGGGTGTGTCCATGCAAGAAGTTTGTAAAATAATGCCTGATTCTTCATAATAGTTCTCCAAATCATTAGTAGCAAATTCCAGACCATTATCTTATTGAATGCGCCGAACGACCTTACCAAACTGAGTCCGAACCATGTGCAAAAATGATAATAAGTGACGAGCAACATCGGACTTAAAACAAAGTAAGTAAACCCAAACAGCTCTGCTGTAATCATCAACAATCGTCAAAAAATAACGACCTCCAGAAAATGAAGGAGTCTGATAACCTCCCCAAATATCTAAATGTATGAGTTCAAAGCATGAAGTAGTCGCGATCGAACTGGTCTGGAAGGGATCACAAGCTTGCTTTGCTCGAATACCAGAATGACATGGAGAATCACTCCGCAAAAGTGGAGTAGAGATAAACTGCTGTAAAGTCATCAACTTTGCCACCGAGGGGTGCCCCAGACGAGCATGCCAGAGAGCTGTCTTATCCACCGCTTGACGAGTTGTATGTGCCACAGGATGCTGCCCATCAAAGAGTCGCAGATAACACAACCCATCTACATGCTTACCCATCCCAATCAGCCTCTTGGATGGTAAGTCATGAATAATACAGAAATCACCAAGAAAGATTAAAGCCACTGAAGATCTGCCGTAAGCAAACTAACGGAGAGCAGATTGCACTGAAAATCAGGAACATATAACACCCTCTGAAGAAACAATCCATTAGATAACTGAACTGATCCAATACGATGAACCGGGACACCAGTCCCATTCGGAATCCGAACCTGTAACGAGGGAGGTGACTCCAACTCATTCATTAATAATGATTTATCAGTAAGTATGTGCTCATTACAGCCTGAATCGATAACCCAGGAAGAAGAAGCAACATTAGACGTACCTGCCCTATTGGAAGTGGGATCGGCAGATGCTTGACTTCCTAGCTTAACATCAGAGCTGAGAAAGGATTTTAATTTGTTAGGTTTTTCGTCTATGACTTTTTGCACGGATCACCGCCTTTGTATTTAGTTATTGTTCGCTAGGTTTTCGTCTATATATGACTTTTTGCACAAATCATCGCCTTTGCCCACCATTTTGCAACTCTTCTCGAAATACTTTCGGCGAAATTAATATATTAATTATTAATTAATATATAAAAGCCTAAGTTTAAGTTACTATTCATTAGTGGTTCTCACACTCCTCCAAGTGCAAGTGGGGAAGTTCCAAGTCATTCTTTTACCCCACTCTCCATTCTACAACCTTTGTGTTTAGTTATTGTTTGTTAGGTTTTTCGTCTATGACTTTTTGCACGGATCATCGCCTTTGTGTTTAGTTATTGTTCGCTAGGTTTTCATCTATATATGACTTTTTGCACAAATCATCGCCTTTGCCCACCATTTTGCAGCTCATCTCGAAATACTGTCGGCGAAATCATAAGTTGTTCCCCACCACTGTTTCCCAAGGCCACTAGGTTTTCGTCTATGACTTTTTGCAGAAATCATCACCTTTGCCCACCATTTTGCAGCTCATCTCCAAATACTGTATGGCGGAATCCTAAGTTGCTCCCCACCACTGTTTCCCAAGGCCGCTACCACGAGTTTTGTATCGAGACCGAGTTTCATCCTCTTTATTGTTTTTTCTTTCTCTTTTTCCTTTTTGTTGAGCATGCTCACAATTAAACCCAAACACATGAGTATCCTAACTTGTACACAAATCATCGCCTTTGCCCACCATTTTGTAGTTCATCTTGAAATACTGTCGGCGGAATCCTAATTGTTACCCACCATCGTTTCCCAAGGCCCGCTACCACGAGTTTTGTATCAGGACCGAGTATCATCCTCTTTAGTATTTTTTTCTTTTACTTTTTGTTAAGCATGATTACAATTGAACCTAAACACATGGGTGTTCGCTAGGTTTACATCTATTGTCCATTGTGTTTCTCATAACAATTATTGCCTACTAGGTTTTCAGCTCCCTATTGAAACAACTATCCACTTTTCGCACCATTTTGCAACCCAACTCGAAACATTGTCGGTGGAATCCCGAGTTGTCCTCTTCCACCGTTTTCATGGTCGTGACCAAATATCCATGCTAGATATGCTCTGTCCAATCCTTAACATCGCTCACTAATTCACAACCTTCTCAAAACACTATCACGAAATCCTAAGTTGTCCCCCTCCACCGTTTCCCAATGCCGCTACCGAAAATCCATACCAGATCTACTCAACGTTAGCGAGTTTTGTATCGGGACCGAGTTTCATCTGTTTTAGTGTTTTTTCTTTCACTTTTTCCTTGTTATTGATCATGATCACAATTGAACCCAATTCCATGGGTATCCAACCTAATTCTATACGGTCAAAGCGACTTGAAACCGACTTTAGCATTTATAAATTTCTCTATTTTTTTCTTTTTGTTGGGAAGACAATTGAACCTGAATCAAAGGTATTCATGAGTGTTGTATTGTGAGCAAGCTTTATCCGCTTTTGTAGTTGGCAGGTTGGACCAAGTGTTAATTTGTTAAAAATTTGTTAAAGCGAGTTGAACACGTTGTTGACCAGTTTTAGATCGAAAGCGAGTTTTGTACGCTTTAATATTTTTTAATTTCTCATTTTCCTTTTCATTGAGAATGACAATTGAATTCTGACCCATTGTTGAAGCGATTCGTATCGATAGCGAGCTTTATCCGCTTTGGTAATTAATAGGTTGGGTAAATTGTGAATTTGTTAAAACTGGGTCAACTCGTCAAAGCGAGTTAAACGCAGTGTTGGGAGTTCGGGGTCATGAGCGAGTTTTATCCGCTTTAGTATAGTTTTTCTTTTTATTTTTGGCTGAGAATGGCAATTGAGTCCAAACGCATGGGTATGCAATCTAATTCGAACCGACCAAAGCGACTTGAACCCGATTTTACAGGTTTTCGGCAGGAGCGAGTTCTTTTTTTTTTTGTTGTTGTTGTAATTTGCGGGTTGTGTCAGGTGTGACGAGTTTTGAGTCGATAGCGAGTTTTAGCTTTAGTGTTTTCCATTTTGCTTTTCCTTCTGTTTGAGAAAGACAATTGAACACAAATCCATGGGTATCCAACCTAATTTAACCCGATCAATGCGGTGATGCGTGCCGTTTGGAACGATCACCGCTCTGATACCATGTAAAATACGACGAAGATAACGAAAGCGTAAAACACAACACCAAGTTTACGTGGTTTCCTCGTTCGGTGAGAACGAGACTAGTCCACGGAGAACGTGAGTTCTCGGCTGAGATTTTATTCACTGATTAGGTTTTTGCGTAGGGCGGAACAGGTGTAGCCGAGCCCTATTTATAACAAGCATGCACAATCCCTTAACACGTAAACTGGGAAGGCAAATAACAAAAGGCTCCCTAAACTTAATAAGCCTACAAGAGGGAAAAGTATAGGGATCGCAACAGTTATTATGAATAACCATGAAGAAATTTATGATGGGATGACTAGCACCCTGCTTTGTTTTTCGCCTATCGAAGCGGAAGCAAATACATTGCTTGAAATGCTTTTTCTGGCTCAACAATATTCTTCTCAATGTTTGATTCACAATGAATAAAAGTCAAATGAGAAAACTTGAAGCCCCATTTTAAATTTCCCGCATCTAGAGTGAAAGTAGGAAGGGTATATTCGTCTTCACAGTCATATATTATTTTCATATTTACAAAAAAAAACATCAATAATGAGATTTTAAATGTGGTCTCTTTGAACAAAGATAAGAAACATAATCAGTTACAATAAACACATTTATGTGATCTTTTTCAATTAAAAACATACAGAAAATTTAAATCTAAAAAATCATAGGACTTTTCCACCACGGTTAGCAACCGAAATGTCATTGATTCAAATATTGCATATCAAATTTCACTCTTGAATGTGTAGAAGCGATATAGAATTCTTAACATAGACTTAATTGTTATAACTAACATAAAGCAACGATATTTTTAAACACAGAACTTGTGAGTGAATATGGGGCACATGTGTCTTTAAGAGGGTAAATATGGAAAGGTTGCGTGATGTTGGTTTTTCGAATGCGGATGGAAAAGACACTACTAATGTAAACGAGCCCAAATAGTGCCCCTCCAAACTTCCCATCAGACTCAACAACCGGCTAACCTCCTCTACCTCTATTTTTACGTCAGAGCAATTTTTGGAGGGGTAAATATGGAAAGATTGAGTGGTGTTGGTTTGCCCAACACGGATGGAAAAGGCGCTACTAATGTATACGAGCCAAAATAGTGCCCGACCTACTAAACGATCAACCACCCGGGTTACTTTCGCTAGACCAAATATAATAGTGAAATGGGAAATGTGCTTCCCTCATTACAAAATCCTTGCATCCATAGCAAAAGTAGAAAGGGTAGATTCGTCTTCACAGATATTTATTATTTTCTTATTTATAGGAAAATACATAAGTGGTGGGATTTGAATTGTGATCTCTTTGAGAAAAGACAAGAAACATAACCAATTACACTAAACAATTTGTTTAAACTTTTTAAATAAAAGGCATACAGATACATGAAGGTTAAATATGAAAAATCATAGGAATTTTCCATCACAATTAGCTAAGCCACTAACTCTTCCCTAAATATATTTTGGTATTTGATACTTCTATTTTCATACTTTGATTATTTTAATTCGAGTTTAATAATTAATTCTATTTCTATTTATCTTATAAAAAGAAAATAATTTTAAAATCGCAAGCCTAATGTCATTGTTGCAAATATTGCACATCGGATTGTCGTATCGAATGGGTAGAAGCAATGCAGAATTT